CTTTGGGTCTTGGGGAACAAGTTTCTACTGGATTCATGAAAATGATACTGGAGAAGTATAGAAGACAGAGGCTCTTGCTCTGACCCTGTCTCTGAGTCACTGAAGACCTCAGGCTCTTTCTGTGCATCACACTCTTTACAACAAAGTAATTGTCTACTTCCTGGACTGCTGAAGAGACAGACTAATTAGAAAGGACTCCGTAGTTCTCAGCTGGGTGAAATCATATTATGGGCTACTTTGCATGTCTCATAACGAATGACAATCATGAGTTTTAATGCAAAGGTTACCCTCAGATAGAATCATTTTGGCCATTCTTCTAGAATAGAACCATGGCTTTTTTTTTTTTCTCTTATTCTCCCTGAACTAGTAGCTAGTCATCATATCAAAGCCACCTAGAGCCAGGCCTTTTCCTTAATGTGGGATGTCCGCTGTGGCAAGAGGCCGAGTCCATAGGGTAAAGAAGAATGGAGAGTGGAGAACGGAGATCTCAATCCGAGCTACTGATGGGAGGAAAGAAAAGGAGAAGGAGCACAAAGGGAATGGTGCCTGAAGAGAAAGATGAGAAGTCACAGTAGTTCCTGTCTGACAGACCAAGGACTTCTAGATTATGTGACTTGGGCTTTTAAGAAAGCCTTGAGCCCCATGATGGGACACCTGGGTGGCTCAGTCAGTTAAGCGTCCGACTCTTGATTTTGGCTCAGGTCATGATCTTGGGGTTGTGGGATTGAGCCCCACGTCGGGCTCCACGCTCTGAGTGGAGTCTGCTTGAGATTCTCTCTCTCCCTGTCCTTCTGCCCTTCCCCCTCCCCTCGCTCTCTCTCTTGGAATAAATAAATAAATAAAAAGAAAAGAAAGAAAGCCTTGAGCCCCATGAGATTCTACTGGTCTGCTTGAGAGAGAACACTTCACTTACATTGACACTTCACCAGTTTGGTCACTGGTATCTATTTAGCTTGGGCAGGGAGTAGGGGGGTTGAGTGATCAGTTAGTCCTTGTATTAGTGTTTTCCAGAGAAACAGAACCAATATGGTGTGTGTGTGTGTGTGTGTGTAAAGAGATTTATTTTCAAATCTCAGGAGATTGTGGGGGCTGACAAGTCTGAAATCTGTAGGGCAGGCCAGCAGGCTGGAGACCCAGCAGAGAGCTGATGTTGCAGCTTGAATCTGAGGGCAGAAAGGAGGCAGAATTTCCTCTCCCTTCGAGAGCCTCAGTCTAGTTTCTTAGTGCCTTCAACTGATTGGACGAGGCCCACCACACTATAGAGAATAATCTGATCTACTCAAAGTCTACTGATTTCAGTCTCATTTAAAAAAATGCCTTCTAGGGGCGCCTGGGTGGCTCAGTCATTAAGCATCTGCCTTCGGCTCAGGTCATGATCCCAGGGTCCTGGGATCGAGCCCCGCATTGGGCTCCCTGCTCAGCGGGAAGCCTGCTTCTCCTTCTCCCACTCCCCCTGCTTGTGTTCCCTCTCTCGCTGTATCTCTCTCTGTCAAATAAATAAATAAAACCTTTAAAAAATCATAAATAAATAAATAAATAAATATACTACAGAAAGATGCCAACTCTTCATCATATGATTGCAACGGCCGCTGCCTGTTTGATCTGGGCCCCCAAAGAACACATGGGTGAACTCCCTCAAGGGTGAGAACAGGATTCAGGGACGATCTGAGGTTCTCTGCATGGCTCCTCGCTCCATCTTGAGCTGGCCCATTTGTTTACCTCTCAGTGGACTTATCTGAGGTTGAAATATCCGAAGAGATGTGGCCTGCAGCTCTGTGTCCCAGCAGGCATGCCCAGTGCTGGGGAGCAGATGGGTCACAGCCATGGACACCGTGGCGCCTCGTGGAAGTGACAGAAGGTGAAGAAGCAGGAAAAGTGACAGGCACAGGCCTCCAAGAGTTGCTGCCATGCAAAACCAGAGGCCTGCCTCCTTCTGGATCTCCTGGGAGTGGCTGCTCAGCCACGCAAGGAACAAAGGGCAAAGCAGCAACATTTCTAAGACAAGGGCAAGGAGCTGAGAAAAAAATGATCAGGCAAGATGTTAGCTCCTGGGTGAAGGTGCCTGGCTAAGACTGAGAAATGGGGGGACAAACACATTTCACCCTAGAAGTTCACTCAGATGTGATGACAGGGATGCCTGGAGCTCAGGGTCAAGCCAGACCAGGAGTCTGAGCCACAGGCTCAGGACAGAAAGGCCATGGTTGGTGGGTGACTCTGTCCTGGGGCTCTGAGAGGGCGTGGCTGCACGAGCCGGGGCGGGTGGGGGAGGGGAGTAGGATTCATCATCGCTGATTTACGTCTTCTCAGGGACTTGGTCAGAGTGTTGATTTGATGTTAGCAGGGGGTTCAGCCAAGTCCTACACATAGATCTCATGTTCAGCACTATCCCTCTCAAAATCAGAAGGACCAAGGTGACCTCGATGACAGGAGAAAGATCTCAGGTCAGTATTTCCTAACCAGGGACTGACGGTCCACCCCTCGGGCCCCAGCCCTGTGGCCATGTCCTCTCAATGACTGGGATTATTCTGAGTCTAGAAAGAGGTCTACCTTGCCTAGTTTGATGACTTCCAAGCTTCTGAAAGACCAGAGATTTTCGAGTTTTTATGTCATGTCACTCACTTGTGGGAAGGGAAGTAAATTCCCTACAGGGTCAAGTTCAAGAAGGCCCAGGGCAGAGAACACTAGACACCTGTCAAACTGGCACTCAGGCCTCAGCAACTTCCCCTTGCTCCTCACCCTCCCACCACACAGCACTTCTCAGCACTCCCAGAGCAAGCAGGGTTTCTCCACGTGCTAGCTCCTTCCATCCGTCCCTGTGGGGGGGTACACGGTCCTTCCTGGCTTACCTGGAACCTCCCCCAGCTGCTGGGCCGCTCAGACCTTCCCCGGGATGTCACTGCTCCCCCTGCCTCAGAAGAATTTGCACTTAGGTCTTTACAACAAAGACCTATTCTATAAAAATTTAAAAGGTTTCTCTCCCTGAAATTTCCTTGTTTGCTTTAGCCCAGGCATTGCATTTGCAACCAAGTACATACTTTATGCAACTACTGTATACACGTGTATACTGAATGAATGAATGAACGGATGGATGGATGGATGGATGGATGGATGAATGGAGGAGGGAAGGAAGGAAGGAGGGAAGGAAGGAAGGGAGGAAGGATGGACCTAGGAAACATGATCTTCTCAGAACGAGGCTTCCAAGAGGAACTAAATTTGTGTTTAGAACTTCAAGGGAAACAATTCGTATCTGATAACACCAAGCAGGTGATATGCGCCTGGCTGAGAGGAGCCGGCCTCCCTAACCTGCTATTAAAGGATTGCCAACGGACTGTTCTGTAGATCTTCTGTTGACTGTAAACAGTCAACCCAGGTAAGGAAAAGCCCTCTACAGAGTTCTGCTGGCTCAACTCAACACCAAACAAAACTGACAGAACATAGCTAGTTCTGTCTTCAGTAGGACTAGTTAATGCCACTAGAAATTAAGATAAAAAGACAAAATCCTGTCTTTAAGGACTAATGATTGCAACCTGCTTCACAAGACCACCCCTGGTTGCCGAGAAAGTGGTTTTTAAAATTCATGTCTTCTGGGGAGGCTAATTTGAAAGTAGCCGTAAATCACACGGATTCAAATGCCCCTGCTGGTCTATGGGCAGACCAGACCCTGATCTGCTTGATCTCTACAGGAGAGACCCCGTGACCTTCCTCTGGTGGAAATGTGACATTACCACCATTACTGTGAGCTGTTGACTTGATTCTTTTTTTTTAAAATTTTTATTGTTATGTTAATCCCCATACATTACGTCATTAGTTCTAGATGAAGTGTTCCATGATTCATTGTTTGTGCATAACACCCAGTGCTCCATGCAGAACGTGCCCTCCTCAATACCCACCACCAGGCTAACCCGTCCTCCCACCCCCTCCCCTCTAGAACCCTCAGTTTGTTTTTCAGAGTCCATCTGTTGACTTGATTCTAATTGCATGACTAGAATCACATACCTCCCATACCGAAATTTCTTAGATATTATAGAAGATTTTGGAAATTCTCAGCCTGTTGTTCAGTTTCAAGATGACTGATGATAAATTTAACCTGCGTGTACATAGCTTATCGGGTGTCAAATAGCTTTTAAGAAAATCAGACAATACCTCCTCAAGGTAAAATGGGACAAATAGACAAATTGAGGATGACAAGAAGCCAACTGCAAAGAGACCTTCATGATAGTGGTAATAATGAAAAATAAGTTGTTTATGTGACTACAGAGTACTGCAGCCCTCCTGTTAGAACCGCGCGAGCTTTGAGTTCCTTTTCTCAGAGAGAGGATGGTACCCACAAGCCCAACCAGACTGCACGCACACAGGAAAAGGGTACTTGAGCCAAGGAGCTGGGGTGTGGGTGGAGGTGTGGAAGGGGGAAAGAAGCTAATGTCCTCCCCTTCAGGGAATCCATAGTGTCATTTAACACCACAGACTAACAAGCTGAGAGAATATGGTGTCACTTTAAAATAACCCAATTTTTTTCCCAGGGAGTTTAAGTCCTCTCTCAAAATCTAGTAACAGCGTTAAAAGCTTTACTGAAGGGAAGGCAGGTCAGAAGCTGGGAAGGAAAGAAGAAACTCGTTCAGTGACCAGTGCTACTCTGTGGGAGTTAGTCCTCTCCTCTGCAGAACACCCTACTGACCTCCGGAGAGAATGAATATCAAACCTCCCCTTCCTCTCGTTCTGTCCCTCTTTATGTCATAAAATGAAGGAGGAAAAAGAAGAGATCATAATAAAATCTTGATGCCAAAGCTTCTCAAATAACTCACAGCATTCTTCAGTAGCTCGACATGCCTGAGAAATACAACCAGCTCACCAGGAAGGATTTCAAATCCCCCTCATAACATTTGAAGGGCCAGAAGGGTTAAACTGGAAGGATCAGGACTTAGCAAGGCCCCTATATGGAGAGCAAGGGAGGAGAGCAAATCCGTTTTCTCATCACCAATCATTTTTGTACTGGACATGTCAATACTAATACCAGGTAACAATTTTATTCACATATAAAAAAGGGCATTACAAAACTATTGTATAAGAAAATGAAAATTTACAAATTTATAAATTCCAGTATGCAAAATAGTAACGATGACATCTAAATCGATTCAAGCTGGCGACCTTCAAGCAATGATGGGCTTTTTTCATTTTCTTTTCAACATTTTTTTTTTTACCCTTAGCACAGACAATAGAGCTTAACTAGGTAATAGCAACTTAATGTTTTATCTAAAGTAGAAAACTCTATATTTGAAAAACATATTCCATATACACAAAATGAGAAAACCATGCCTTTACATGGTCGTTCCCCAAATCCTTGTCTCATTCTTGTTGGTGGGTTTCTGCAACATTCGAAGTCACCCCGATTCTCACTCCCAGACCCGATGATGATTTCCTGGGACCTGTACCCTCGCGGCCGAGTTCCTGTGCGCGCTGTAGGGTATTCCAACTGTGCAAAATGCAGACTGGGCTTTCCCTCTCAAGTGTTTACACAGACTATAGAATCTAACATTATGTTTCTGCAGCGGGCGGTGGTAAAATGTCTTCATCTTGGTACAACAGCCCCAGGAGTTTTCAAATGCAGTATCAAATGAAATCGACTTTCAACCTAAGCATTTCCTTAGTGATCCAAAGGGATGATTCAGGGTTTGGGGCTACAGTCTCATGCCCATCCATCTAGCTTTCTCCAGCAAGTATTTGTCTTTGAAGTCGAGGAGGGTTTCTACATGTGGAAAATATATTCAGGTCACCAGAAGGAACACAACCCTGGCCGACTTTGATCATCCCTCTGTCAAAACAAAACGATCAGCTTGCAAACAATGGCATGCATATGTGAATTACAGTGAAGCCACTCGAGGAAACTCTAGCGTGCATTTTCATAGACATCTTGTGGTCAAATCCTAAATATTTTACATGACTTTCCTAAAGGCAACTCTCATAAGAGCTGGCGAGTTATCAAAGTTTAAAAACCATTGGTTAATGTTAAGAGAGGAAAAGAAAAGAGGGCACTAGACGGACACAAAAGATTATGGGTCGCCCCGAGACTACTCCAATTTCTTATTTTGGTTCAAGGAACTGAGGTCCTGAGAAGAACGGAGCCCAGGCAAGCTAATCCACACATATTAGAGCCTAAGACTAAGGGGGAGAGAAACTGGCCCAGCCATGAGGAAGAGGGCTCATTAGATTTTCCTCATGTCTTACAGAGAGAGAAAAGCATGGTCTAGTAAGTGAGAAGAAAGAAAAATGTCCTAAGAAAGAGTTTTTGCATGTTCAGTTTAATATTAGGTAAAAAACACTGATCGGGGGGAGAGGGGGCGACTGTGAAACCAAGTATTTTAGTGCACTCAAACACAGTCATGTTTGACTTCTTTAAGTGCAAATGTGACTCAGCTAATAGTAATCAGTTAAAAGACAAAGGCCAGAGCTGATCATGTAGGTTCAAGGAGGAAACAGATAAATCCTGCTCTAGTAATTCCTCCCAGGGCATAAAAATTAAGAGCAAGTGAACCGTCCCCCGGTTCATGACTGAACTGGGTTCATTTCTATCTTAGCCATAGAGAAAATTCTAGTGTGTAAATATCAGGGATGGGGCGCCTGACACCACACTTAAGTCCAGCATCACTGGCTAAGGTAGGAGATTTCTGTGCTAACGAAATGTGCACGGTCGGAGGGCTACTTGGTCATGAGGACCCTGAGGAACTGTTCACCTATAGGCCGCTTACAAATTGGGCTTCTAGTATGTAGTGTAGTCTCCTAAGATGACATACGTGGTGTTACATTTCAGTAGTAGGGGAACAAGATAGGCAGTAATTTCTAAAGCCCTTGGTATCAGATACAATGCAAAAAAGCAAAAGCAAAAACAAACTCACAGGTAGAGAGAACAGGTTGGTGGTTGTCAGAGGCAGGAGGTGGAGGCGGGGTGGAGGAAAAGAAACCATTGTCTTTATAAATTATCACTCTTCTATAAGAGAGGAATTCTGGATCTTCTAAGCTCAATCACAGGGACAGAACTAACAAATGCTTCCGTATCAACTGATTTTCACAGAAATATGTTAATCATTGTATACAAGTCTCTAGGGTACGTGTGCTAAGTGGTTTTTCATGCAGGGCGGTGGGCACTCTTTCCGCACCACTTCCCCAGCTCAGGCCCCTCTCCCCGCTAGCTCCAGCAGGGGTTCAGTGGTGAAGGCTACAAGTGTCGATTCTGGAAAAGACTTGCTCTCCTCTGATTCCCAGTTAGGCTAGTTAACTTCATCTAACAAACCCCTGATTTAGGCAGGCAGTATGAAGTCTATTCTAACCTCTGAAGCTAATCAGATGATGAAAAAGTGAGCTTCATCAAATACACTCATTTTTGAACCACTCTACATAAAAACTAAGGTAACTAATGTGACACTGACTTTTAGTAGGATAATCGGCTATACGAAATTATTTCTGGAAAGAAAGTGTAAATGAAAACTTATACTCTGGGTCTTCAGTCTGGTAAAACCACACTCGCCACGAAAATAAGCATGAATGCATTTCTGTTTCTTGTTATATGCTCATAATCTCGTAGGCTGCGAACTCGAGCCATCAGTCTTTGAAGTTACGCTTGTGGCATGGAAGCTTCTTGTTTAGGAAAGATGCAGAGTATCATGAGTGCCTGGAGTCTTTTCTTGTTTTTCCTTGAGGTTTCAGCTTACAGCTGGTCTGGCTCAGAAGCAACTGGTTGAAAGGCTTAAAATGCCATCAGTTTGGTTCAGATTTATTTTTTTTCCTCCAGAAGCCACACAGGGTCCAGACTGTGCTCAGTCCATAAGCCTAAGAGGAGGAGTGAGTGCCCGCTGGGTTCCATCCATATTCTTCTACTGCAGAAAGAAGCAAGTCCTTTAAGCTTCCTAAAACAGCAACAGAAAGGAAAGCTTGAAAAACAATACCTTACAAATGAAAGCTACTGAGCTATCATTGTTAAAAATTATTGTAAATAACTTTTACTAGTAGTACACATGACTTCAATAACATATGGACCAGCAGCTCATTAATGGTGTTTGAATATCCAGGTACATATGTACTCTGAGAATAAAACAAAGATTTTATAACAACTCACAGTCACTCACCAAATAACACTGCAAAGATGATATTTCCATCCCAGTGTTATTTCCAAATAACACTGCAGAGATGATAATGTGACCCATAGGAAACAAAATGTATTAACAAACGATTCTTTTGCTAATTTTCAACCCCGTTCAAACATTTAAAGCTTGTTTCTATGTTGCACTCTTTTGAAGCATTTGTAGGTAAAGATGTTAGGATCCTTTTAGTCTCTTCTTTGAAAGAACGAAGACGATTAATAAATAGTGACACTCTCATTCTTTGCATTTAAACTTCTGCTAACCCACTGGAGAAAGTTTAGAGGTGGTTTGGAAATGATTTCTCTTTTAATGATCCTCCTGGAAGGCTCACATTCTTCCTAGGGCAAATATCCTCAGCAAAGTGGTGTAGATCTGTCCCTTATCATAGAAGGGCAGCAACCTGACTTCTGGAGGCATCGGCCAAAGGCACGTTACTGCAAGTGAATAGAACCTTCATTTTATGCAGTAAGCTTTCATTCACTTATTTACCACTAATTTGGCATTGGTGACATATCAGGTAAGTTTACAGGAAAAGATTTTTTTTTTTTTTCCCTAGGTCAAAGGAGAGAATCTAGAAATAGAAGCTTCTGAAAGAACTCTCAATAATCTGAGATAGTTTCATCAAATATGTTGATTAATTGGTATAACCATAATAACCTCATTAATGCTACCGTGGGAGACAAATGATACTCATTTTGCCAACATGGAAAAAAAAATAGGTATTTTCAAGGACTGAGCAACTAGACTCCAGATCATCTCATACCTTGTCTACCATTCCTTCTATTATTTCATGTTGACATTTCCAATGACGGCTAAAAACATCACCAAAAAGAGCTTTTCCTGTGAGTAAACAGGCTGGCCTCATTCTCCCAAGTACCTTAGCAAATGATGTCCCAAATATCTTTGGTTTGTTCCTTTCTGGGGAGGTGTATATAGGGAAAATTTGATTAGAACTGAGTCATTCAGACTAAAGAAGCTTCTCCCACCTATTTGCTTTATCCTGCACCAGAACTATCATCATCAGATTCGGGGTGGTCTTAAACCACCCACAAGAAAACTGCTGTGTAAAAATACAGTTTTTGGAAACAAACGCATCATGCATTAGCAATCTGATCCTTTAAGACAAAAGTGCCATTGTGCATTTTGCAATACAGATGTGTATCAAATCATCATATTGCACACCTTAGCTCACACAATGGCAAATGTCAATTATATCTCAATAAAGCTGGATAAAAGGAGGGAATTGAGGTTAAAAAACCTGAAAATATGAGTGAATGCCTAGGTAGGAATTTCAAGTTCCACTGGAAATAAATAAATAGTAATCACTAAAACTGGGGGCGGGGGGCACTATATATAGGCTCTAGCTGCCCTTACGCATTTCTCAAACAGAAATTCTGTGCTTTCCTGAATTATGAATGAGCCCATGGACCAAGCTAACTAAACACAAACTCAAGGAACTGAAAGTCCTTTGGTTCCTAATACCAAGCTGCCGAAAGGAAATTCTTTACGAGAAGTAAGTATGTTCCCTACCTTGTAGAATCAGCATGTTAAGAGAAAGTCTGAATTGCCTTTTGGAATCTAATGGATTGAAAAAAAATAGAACTGTTGAGCTAAATACTTGGCCGGCTCTTGAAACAAAGAAGAGGGTCAATCTCCCAAAGATGTACAGTTGTGTCTCTCTTATTTGCCTTCAAAGATTAAGGTTCACTCACTAAATATCACACACTCAGTAAATGCAACCAAAGACAAAGGGCTTTTCAGAACCTGGATAAGATTATCTCTTAAAATGGGTTCAAAATATTATTTGTTGTCTTTAATTATAGGGGGAAAACTGAAACGATTCACTTTTTATTTTATTTTTTATTTATTTATTTATTTAAGATTTTATTTATTTATTTGAGAGAGAGAGCACATGAGAGGGGGGAGGGTCAGAGAGAGAAGCAGACTCCCTGCTGAGCAGGGAGCCCGATGCGGGACTCGATCCCGGGACTCCAGGATCATGACCTGAGCCGAAGGCAGTCGCTTAACCAACTGAGCCACCCAGGCGTCCACGATTCACTTTTTAAAAATTCCTTTCCTGAATTCAGAATGCCTCATTTATATTTACCAAAGTATCTAATAATTATAAGACAACACATCTTAGAAGGCTAATAAACCTTTCACTAATAAATTACATTGTGTATCTTGAAGGTAACATTTTCTCATTCATTTTACATATAATTATAACTTTCTTGTCATAATAATCTGAGTTGAAAATATCTTTATGTAGATCTTGATTACCTTGACAATTGTCTTTGAAAAGAAGTTAAGGCCATTATATACACCAATCTTCTACACTAAACGATTTTACATTCATATGGCTGTAATAATAATGCTTACTTCTACCCCCACCTCACCAACAACACAAACAGAAAAAGGTAGAGAATGAGTTGGTTTTGCTATGACTTGAAATCGAGATGTTTCACTCCTTAGTCGTAGAATTTACATCACAAAACTGGGGACGAGCTACACAATTAAGATGAGTGGTGATTTTATTTGCTGACAGTACTCTGAAAAACCGTAGTCACTGGAAACACAATTCTAGCTACTCAGACTTGCCCCTAACAACATTTGTGAAGGTAAAGCAGGTTTATGATCAAAACCAATTGACTTGATATCAAAGAAACTTCAGCATCTTGTAATGAAATTGTGTCTCAGATTTAATTTTAAGAGTCTCCCAAGACTTGTATTTTAGACTATTTGGCAAGGCATCTGACTGGGGAGGTGGGGTTAGCTGCTGAAGGGGCAGGACCTCTCTGCCTCTCTCCCCTGCTCTCAGGGCCTGTCACCTCCTCCTCAGGGCAGCACACATGCTCAGCCCCCACGGCCTGTGGGCCACGGTCTGTTCCTGGGCCTACTCGCAACTCGGCTAACTCTTGCCTTTTCTTACAGTTATCATGGAAGTTATACAAATTATGGGATGGCTCAGAAGAACAAGGTCAAGTAAAGACTCTTTCTCCACTACAGAGGTATGTATTTTACATTTTATTTTATTTTATTTTTTAAAAGATTTTATTTATTTACTTATTTGAGAGAGAGAGCTCTCAAGAGAGAACACGAGCCAGGGGGAGGGGCAGAGGCAGAGGGAGAAGCAGGCTCCCCGCTGAGCAGGGAGCCCAACTGGATTCCAGGACCCTGGGATCATGACCTGAGCAGAAGGCAGACACTTAACCGAATGAGCCACCCAGGCACCCCAGCATTTTACATTTTAAATGCCTAATTTGTTTGCTTTTCTTCCCTTAGCTCTTCTTCCTTCATTTGAGAAAAACAAAATTATTTTTCTCCAAAGCCAACAAATGCTTTCTGCATAGAACTCCCTATAAATTCTCTATGGAATTTGTAGTTCAGAGAAAAAGTATTGCAGATTTAGATCAACATATAACCTATGTGCTATTCTTGAAAGGAACACATCTCCATTCACACTCTGACTTCTGACTGTGTCTAACATCATGAGACCAGGGTACATGACCTCGTGGAAATGGAGGCCCGTCTCGAGAGCAGACGCAGAACATGCCAGAGTGCCTCCCCAAGACCTGGAGTCCCTGAGCTGGCTGCCCATGAGCAGTGAGAGCAAGGCGGGGTGTGCAGGCAGGACCTCGTGGCGCCTGGGAGCCTCACTCTTGCTGTGACTAGGCCCTTTTATACTAAAGGCTGGCATCATTTTTTTTTTCCCCAAAAGAATGTATTCCAACAGTATATATGCTTATATTAGGGAAATGCTTGTAGACATTAAGTCAAATTCAGGAACGGCCACATCCTCGCCAGAAGGGGAGAGCAGGGATGGTGCCCAGGTTTCCCTGACACTTCTCTGCCTCTAGCCTTGCAGCCTGCCTGAAAGCCCCAGCTCTCTGTAGTCACCATCTCCTTGCAAACCTGATTTTAAACCTTCTTTCTAGAAAGTTCTTCTGCAGTATTTGGACCTGGATCACAACCGACAATCAATTTCTAGCCAAACCAATCAGTCAAAGCAGAGCAATCTCGAAAAAACAGGAACAGAGAGGGAAAAGAGAAGCTTCGGGAGATCTAAATTGCCATTAACCTGATGGTGAATGAAGTGCATTTAAGTATTGGGCAGAAAACATCATAGGGTAAATGAAGGTGAGGAACTGTTTAGAAGATGCTCCCTTGACTATCTCTCTCAATCAGGAACGGAGCTAGGGGTGCTGTGCTAAGTACTTGGATTTGCAAGGAGTAAAAGAATGCAGCTGCTCATTATGACTTTACAGAGTACCCGTTAGTTAAAAAAAAAAAAAAAAAAAGACTCTTGAAATTTAATTTAAAATATATTCTCCATACATATAAGAGCAAGAAGTTATGAAAGATGGAAAAGCCTTCTCATCCGGTCTCCCCACATTCTATGGTGAGCCGGGTTCCCATCCCCTGGGTCTGGCATGAGTCAATGCCGTGTCCTTCTCAAGGCCAGTCACTGCCTTACCTGGAGGGACGTCTGCGTGGTCAGGCTGACGATGTCGCCACTCTCGTGATGCAGCTGGCTTCTGGTGGTCAGCGTATCCTGAGTCAGCACTGGCTCTGTCAGCGAGTGGTTACGTCTAGAGGGATCAGTAGTTTCTGTAAAGTTCTCAGAATGAATCGGAACAGCTCCACCAACCAAATCCTGACTACTGTTTGAATCCAAGGAGGACAAGCTTTCGTTTTCTGGGTTGAGAGAATGAGTATCTCCTCCAGAGAGTTCGGGACAAGAGTCACAAAGAGAGATGTCGCCACACATGGGATTTTGCATCAGAGGCCAGGCGTCTGAAAACTCACCACAGATGGACCTCGAAAGGGACCCAAAGAACGTGGGCACCGTTTCCCCCGCTGGACCTGTGTGTCTGAACACACATTCAAAAGCTGTTCAAGTCATCTACGGGGAGGAAAAACACCACTACAAAGCAACACCCAGCTCTGCTTTTAAGTTTTCCAGATGAAAGAGCAATTGATTATATTAGGATTCTAGTGCTTCCTTTGTTAGAAACTTGCTTCCATACAGTAAGTTTAATTATTCCACTTACTTTCAAACTGAATTTGTGTACATATTTCTAACCAGTATAGTTATACTTAACCCAATGTCTAAAACAGGCAGTTTCCTGGGTCTTAACTGAGTTTCTTGATGGCTATTCTAAAATTCTAGGAGTAAATGACATGTTACAAATTACTTACGCATGACAGAAGTGTCACAAATCATGAAAATGAGACAAAAACAAAATTAATGGAGTGTAAAGTATAAAGAATGTCGCACTGGATATCAGTAACCCTCAGAGACTCATGTACCTCTTGCCAAGGATTTGTCCCCCTCCGATGTCCGGAATGTCATCAGTAATATTTTTTAAATATGATGTCTCATAGCTTGACATGGAAATTGGTAAACTAGTAGAATGCATATTTGCACAAGGGAATATGACATTATATGGATTAAAAATCCCGCGTTACCTCTCCTGAAGAGTGGCCTTGGAATGCACCCTACAGCCTAGAGTCACCCGGTCCACGCTGCAGGCCTCATCACAGCACAGAGATGGAATCAAGTGAACAGGCCCTAGGGAAGCCAGCAGAGGTGTGAAGCACAAGGTTGTCTCCTGGGAACTTTCTCTTCAGTACTGGCTCAACACTGCTGGAGAAAATTCAGCTATTCCCCTTTGGGTGACTTTTTTGGGGAAAGGAAACATGAGGTTTAATTCTTTCTCTTTTCTGTTAACTTACAATAATGATGCAGTGCTTATCTGAAGTACCTAGAGTAGTCAAACCCATAGAGACTGAAAGCAGAATGGTGGGTGCCAGGGGCTAACGTGGGTTGTGGGGGGGCGGCGGTGCTCTGTACTGGGGACAGTCTCCGTTTGGGAAGATGAAGGGCTCTGCAGACGGGGGGGGGGGGGGGTGGTGACGGTGGCACACCAGAGTGAACGGGCTCAGTGCCACTGAACGGCACACCGAAGCAGTGTTAAAATGACGGATTCTATGTTGTGTATATTTTACCACAATAAAAATCATAATGAAAGGGAACAGCACAGCCTGAGAGAGAGAGTGTGAGAGAGTGTGTGGAGTCAGACTCCCCTGTCCCGTGAGGGGACGGTGGAAATAGGAGTGCCGTCCAGCCGCGTGGGCTAGCGGTACAGAACAGGAACGGAGACACGTTCGACCCTTTAACTCCACACACACACACCCCACACACACCGCACACACCACACGTACACACACCCCCACACACACCTCACACACACACACCGCATACACACACTTCACACACACCCACACACACCTCACACACACACACACCACACACACACTTCACACACACCCACACACACCTCACACACACACCACACACACACACACCCCACACCACACATACACACACCCCACACACACACCTCACACACACACCCCCCCCACACACACACCCCCCCCACACACCGCACACACCACACGTACACACCCCCCCACACACACCTCACACACACACACCGCACACACACACTTCACACACACCCACACACACCTCACACACACACACCGCACACACACACTTCACACACACCCACACACACCTCACACACACACCACACACACACCCCCCCATACCACACATACACACACCCCACACACACCCCACACACACCTCACACACCACACACACCTCACACACCACACACACCTCACACACACACACCACACACACCGCACACACCACACGTACACACACCCCCACACACACCTCACACACACACACCGCACACACACACTTCACACACACCTCACACACACACACCACACACACACACCCCACACCACACATACACACACCCCACACACACACCACACACACACACCCCACACCACACATACACACACCCCCCACACACCCCACACACACCTCACACACCACACACACACCTCACACACACACCCCCACACACCTCACACACACACACTCCCCACACACACCGCACACACCACACGTACACACACCCCCACACACACCTCACACACACACACCGCACACACACACTTCACACACACCTCACACACACACCACACACACACACCCCCCACACCACACATACACACACCCCACACACACCCCACACACACCTCACACACCACACACACCTCACACACCACACACACACCTCACACACACACCCCCACACACACACACCCCACACACACCGCACACACCACACGTACACACACCCCCACACACACCTCACACACACACACCACACACACACACTTCACACACACCCACACACACCTCACACACACACACCACACACACACACACTTCACACACACCCACACACACCTCACACACACACACCACACACACACACTTCACACACACCCACACACACCTCACACCCCCACACCACACATACACACACCCCACACACCTCACACACCACACACACCTCACACACCACATACACACCTCACACACACACACCACACACACCGCACACACCACACGTACACACACCCCCACACACACCTCACACACACACCACACACACACACTTCACACACACCCACACACACCTCACACACACACACCACACACACACACTTCACACACACCTCACACACACACACCGCACGCACACACTTCACACACACCCACACACACCTCACACACACACACCACACACACACACTTCACACACACCCACACACACCTCACACACACACACCGCACACACACACTTCACACACACCTCACACACACACACCGCACACACACACTTCACACACACCCACACACACCTCACACACACACCTCACACACACACCACACACACACCCCACACCACACGTACACACACCCCCCACACCCCCCACACACCCCACACACACCTCACACACCACACACACCTCACACACCACACACATACACCTCACACACACACACGCCACACACACACACCACACACACACCACACATACACCACACACATCACACACACCCCACACACACCTCACACACACTCCACACACACACCACACACACCACACACACCACACACATACCACACACCACACATACCACGCACACACAGAGTTACTACTGTTTTCCTGCCAGGAATGGAATGTAAGGAATAACTAGAGGTGTGCACGCATATTTACAAACCATTTTGTCCATTGAGGCAGCATCAATTTTTGGTTACAAAGATAACACAAGTGTACTGAAGAAAAAAAAAATTAAAAAGAGAGGGATTAAGATAAGAAATTTAAAAATAAATATTACCCAACCCTATAAACTAGAAATGAACGCTGTCAACATTTGGTGAACTCTCTACATACATACATATATAATTCTGATTCTACACATACACATACTAAAGCATACAAAGATAAAGACACACATCTAGAGAGAGAAAAAGATGTGAAAAAATTGATATTTACATATACATGTATGTTTGTGTATCCAAAGTTTGCTTGAGAAATGATCTCTTCACTCTTATAAAAAGGAAAAAATATGGTGAAATTTTCCTTTTTTAAAAATGAGTGTTAAACATCGACATGCAATTGCCAACCAGGATGGATATCCGCACACCTTCGCCCAGATCTCTCTCAGCGCAGGGCCCACGTTGCCCTCACTGTGTGAATAAACGCTGCCGTGAGCCTCGGGGAACTCGCCCAGATCCACGGCCAGGCAACTCGGCAAGCCCGTGTCATGCTCACTGCAAGATGTTTCGAAATTATTTCAAAGCAAAAGACACTGCCTTTCCTTTTAGAAATGGCTGGTTCTAGGGCTCAAGCAGCCAAAGTGCAAGATGAGCCTGGAACTTTTCTCGTGTGCCAGAGATGAAGAAAGTACTAAAGAATAATCAGGACATGTCAAAATGACACACGAGCCAGCGTGAAGGGACCTGCACTGGCCCAACCTAGGAAAACGTGGGCACCAAGATAAATGATGATGGCAAAGGAGTAGAGGCTGTGGAAAAGGGTCCACGAGTCCACACTAATTCAAGTAAATAAATAAATGGGGAAGAAGTTCTTTCTTACTGTAGGAAGCCAACTAATAAATGTGGAGAAAATGATGGAATTACAAAACAAGCATTTGTAACCGTTGTGGTAATGACTGATTCAGATACGAAACTCTTGAGCGGAAGTTTGGAGAGTAACAGGATATTTACACAGTCTCAAAGAGTCTCCTGCAAAATATTTATTAATTACAAAGAGAACAACAGTCATGTTACAGCAGAGAAACCTGGCAGGTGCCCCGTTAACAAAGGGACCCAAATTGATCTGACCAGGAAAGGGACAGCTGCACACGCTGTGCCTCCTCATGTGGGACACCAGGAAGGACACAGCATCACCGCTGCAGGATTTGTTTCTAGTCAGACAGAAACATCAGACAAACCCAAACTGAGGGTCATTCTACAAAATTACTGGCCTGTGCCCGTCAACAATAATAATGTCATGAAACACAAAGAAAGACTAAGGACCTGTGCCAGATAAAAATAAGGTAAAGAGATTTGACAACTAAATGCAACAGTGTTATCCGGGATTTTCTTTCACTATAAATTTTGGGACAATTCAGAAAACCTGAATGTGCTCTGTAGATTATACAATAAGCTTTGATTTAATGCTGATTTTCTGATTTTAATAACTGTGCTGTTCTGTAAGAGGATGTTCTTGTTCTTAGGAAACAAACACCGTAGTATTAAGGGGTAAAGGGATATCATCTCTGCAACTGATTTTTAAGTGGAAATGAAAAAACGTGTATAAATACATATATCTCTACCGTACTTAGAAAAAGGATAAAACAGATGTGGAAATGAGATAAAATGTTAATTTTGGGGGATCTGAGTGAAGAGGGTGTGAGAATTCTTTGTGCTATTCTGTCAACATTTTTGTAAGTCTTAAATGATGTCAAAGTAAAAAGTTCGAAGAACAAAGGCACTGCCATGAAGTAGGAAACCACATAAGTGGTAAGCTATGTGGAACCTGGGCAGTAGCGGGTGAATTCTTTCCAGGCTCAGCATGCTGTTCTGTTAAGAGGACATGCACCAAGGCCATCTGCCCATTTAAGCCTTCTTTTCAGACAGAAGTTAAGAGGAGGCAGATTTTGCCCAATGCTGCATTTTACTACATCCGAGTTCATGTCTCAGGAAATGATTCCTGCTCCCTCTGACCCTAGTGTCCAGTTCAGGGTCTGGGAACCCCAGCTCTGGGGGTGTTTTGAGGATCACCCAGTTATCGTCCATACTGTCTAGAAGTCTATTCCCTATGTAGGCAAAGGCAAAAATAGACCCACACACACCACAGAAAGTCCTATATTTTGTTCCCGACCCATTCCTAAAGCAGAAGACAGGAACGAGCAGTAACGAAATCAGTCTGCTGAAAACTTCTTACTCCACATATGGAACGTCAGATCAGAAGACGAAATCCTGTAATTTCTTGGTAGGAAAGACTGCACCGTGCCAGGAGTGTCAGTCAATCTAAGTGGGAAACACTCAGCTTAAAGAGTGGCTCCACAGAGACAAAATGGTGCTGTGAGCATTGCTTCAAAGGTGCTCTGAGAACGTGAAGCCAGGCGGGCAGGGGCAGATGTCTAGGAAGGGCACTGCCATCTGTTCTGCTTTGCAGAGTGGGGGCCGAGAGGGAAGTATAAGTGTGGGAGCCTTGTGTTGGGAATATAAGTAAGTGGCAGAGAAAGTTAGTATTATCTTTGCCCATTCTTTGCCCTGGTGAGAAACCAATTTCCATTTGCACGACTTCCCTAAACTTCCTTTTCTGTCAGTAGTCCCTGGGGCAATTGAAGTTGGTGGAAACCCCTGCCATAGGTCTCCCTCCTGCTCTTCTTTAAGAAACCCAAAAGACATTAAGAAGACCCATCAAAGTTCAGCTTGAATCCACCGGACAAGACAGGAAACACGCTCCTACTCTACAAAAGGATGATCTTATTTTCAATCAATGGACCCAAAACAATAAAGGCAAACTTGCTTTAAAAAGTTGCTGAATAATTCTAAAATTTTAATGAGATGCTTCCTTTCTTTTTAATACCTAAGAGGCTCAAAGCACCCAAACATTCAGGGGACAGAGAATCATTTAACAAGATTAGGTTTAACTAGAAAACCAAGCAGAGCAACCAAGCTGTGGGGTGAACAGGGACAATTCTTTGCAGTGTCCGTGTCCCTAGGATTCCCCTAATGGCCCCTTGCCTGGCTGCACTTACCACAGGTTTGGGCTGAGTCCCGATGGCACTGACAACATGCTCTGGGAGCAGATTCATTGAGCTGAGGTCTGTCAAAGCATGACAGTTCAGAACCGTTGTACTGAATGTCTTGTGCTCTCAGAGACCCTACAAGGGGCGAGAATTCTGTCAGTGAAGACCATTGCCTCTATAAAAGAGCCCATGACCACCATAACACAGACAGGTACCCTTCTAGCTCTTAATATTTCTTAAGAAAAAGATGGCTATCGTTTACATTTAAAAATATGTCTTCTTACTTGGAGAAACAACTAGGAATGAATTTGTTAAAGCTCAAATTATAGAGTACTTCAGTTGCCAGAACTTGGAAGGATTTTCATTTTTGCCTAGTGGCATGGGACACTGCTGCCTTTTCAATGTCCTTATAAAGCAGTGCCTCTGGGGGACCAGGGGACTGTGAGCTGAGTTTCCAGGTGTGCTCTGTCCCTTTAATAGCTCCTGACTGTGGTCTCGGTCAAGGCCTCGTGGAACCTTCGGTGACAATGATGATAAACACACTTCACCCAAATGCTAAGAAACAGAAAGAGTTCAACACTCACAGCTGGGTTTTTTCTCCATAAACTGCCTCTTACAGTAGATGACACAGAGGATGAACAGGGCCAACAGGACGGTGGCCAGGGCGCTGCAGATTACGGCCGCCAGGGCTGTGTCCCGTGGGCTGGAGGCCGTGGATGGGATCTTCACGAGGTTGACCTTGCTGGTACCTGGAAACCGCAGGAATGGAGTCAGCAGACTCTCAACAACCCAGGAGACTCGGATGCTTACCCCCATCTTGGTGGCCACTTTTATTAATGGCCTTCATGTGATGTAAGAAAGACCCCAGAAAACAAGAGGAGGTATTTGAAGAAGGCTCAGTGCTCCCTCCTCTTAGAAGATTTCTTTAATACCCCAAAGTGTGTGGATGTGTCCCTCCTCCTTTCCCCACAGCGCTGTGGACACACAACTCTCAACACACTGCGTTGCCAGGATGTGCTTTTAGGCCCGCTAGACCAGAGCTGGCAAGTTGGCAAGATGGAATTCCTCATCGTTCTCTGTCTCCCAGTGCTTGACACAGCATCTGGCACATCGTAGGTATGTAATATTTGCGATTTAATTGGAATTAGACTACCTACATTTCAAGCACACTGAATTAAGGGATGCTTTTGGGGGCAACTTGAGGGAAAAATAAGGAAAAAGTCATTCACAAGCTAATAGTAACTCCCAATTTCTGAGACAGTAAGCATTTTTTAATGCCTGGCTGTTGAATGACTGAACAACATCTAAGTTTTAGAGAAAAAACCGAATAGTGTTGCTATTCTGTTGCAGGGCAGCCCAGTAACATGTTCAAGTGTCAAGAAAGACATTCTCTTTTAGAGGGAGGTATTGTGTCATTGTTAAGGGCTAAGATTCTGGAATCTCACTGCCTGGGTTAATCTCTGGATGTGTAACCCTGAGCAATTAATCTCTTGGAGTCTCACACGCACCTCTGTTCTATGGAGGTAGGGAGAGGGCCTGTCTCACCTGGCTGTTGAAAAAATGAAATCATGTTTTATCAGATAAAGCATGTAGAACAGCCCCTTACTCAGTGCTCTAGAATCATTAGCTATTGATTGCTATTATTATTCATGATGATAATAATTAGCACTTAACTTTTTTAGGGTACTGGGAAGAATGAACTCATTTGGGTCAGAAATCTATATTCAGTGCAGTCACTTCAGAACCTACTAACTAACCCGAAAAGAATTTGAGGGAGCTTGAACCCTAAACAGAGGGGCAGTTATGCTTTCTCTTCCTCTGGGTACCCCCCGCCCAAGTGAGGTGGGCCCTCATCCTCCCCTTCGGATGCTCTCAGCTCCTGAGCGCCACTCAGTGGGAGCTCCCCTGAGGCTGAGGGTTACTCCAGACCACTGTGGCCTGAGAGAAGCGTAACATGTGCCCCTCATGTAATTTTAGGTTGTCTAGAAGCCATGTTAAAAAAAGAAAAATAAAGAGGAAAAATTAATCTATTTTACCTAACCTAATAGATCTTAAAATATATTATGTATTCATGTATTCAATATGAAAATTATTAATGACATATTTTACATCCTCTATTTTGTACAAAAATTTCAAAGTCCAATGTGATTTCACATTGACGGCACCATCTCCTTTTGGACTAAGCACATTTTGGGTGCTCATTAGCCACATGTGGCTCATGGCTATTGGACGGACACAACAACTCGAGACGTTCAATGTTTGTATCTGTATTTGTGCAGCGTGGCTCCTAAACACAAGCCAACTCATCAGATGGCACCCTTCTTCTCGTCCCTGGCTACATATCCCCCCAACCCTGTAAGATTGATTTCCACTGTATGACACTTGAGGCTAGAACCAGAGAGAAACTTCTGGGTTAGTAATATTGAATCACAAAAATATGATAGCAGGAGTGATCATCTGGGAACATCAAGTCTTGGTATTTCTAGGCTCAATGATTCTGGGGCCACACTGATAAAAGTTTCTGACTGCCGCCCAGAAGGCACCTAAGAATGACACCATACGCCTTGGGCTTGGATGATTAGGAATCATAGTCCAGTCATACATTTTAAAGGATATTTGTTTGTAAACATGTTTAATATTCATAAAAAATAGTTACCACTTATAGCTATGTAGACATCCTATAATCACCAAGCAGCACATACTGAAGTTCAGCATACAGCAAGCTAAACAAATTGCATCCCTGGCCTAATAGAGATTAAATCTAAATCTGAAACAGCCTCTATCAGTGGACAAATTCACAAGAGGATGTATGAACACAGGCACAGCTGTACAAACACTGACAAATCAATAACCGAAGAGGAATTTATATCCTGCGCAAGGGAAATAGTTGACTACACCGCAGGGTAAGGGATCTGGGAGATGTAACTCTTATCTCTTTGGACCAAATAGTACAGTTGTGGAAAACTGCCATCTCGCTTATGTTTGTGAGAAAGGTGGTTGACTTCAGAGCGAGATCAGCTGAAAACTCTTCATCAAATAACCCAGCTCCACACAATGCAGGGCTTTAGCAAGAGCTGTTGTCAGAATGAAACACAGTACGTGATTTGAGCTGAAGATCTCAAAGTTCTTAACGCTGTTGTAACTATCAAGTTAAGCTCATCAATTCACATAGTATTGGATATTCAGGAAAACGCTACTAAGAATTGGGACTTCGGGTTAAAGTAGAATCACGATTAGAATCCTTTAAGTTCTTGTTGAACTTCTTTGAAAGTAAATTAGTCATCTTACTTACCTTCATATGAAAGGAAATGTTTCTGCTTTATAAACATGCTAAAATGCACCCAATGAGGATTTTGAGTCTGTTGGTTTGTGATTCAGCATTTATTTTCCCCAAACTAATTGTAGAAGTCTTAGGAATAAGTATCTTTCCATGGTAGGGTACTAATATTGTAATCTCAATGATATTGAGTTGCCATAATAACATTGATTTTTTTTAAAAAGTGCACTCAGTAAGCCCCTTCTCTATACATTTCCCTGGAAGTAGCATCTGAAGATGAACAAGAAAAATACAGTAGTTTTACCTCTCAACGTTTGACACCTATGTAAGAAAAGGTGTCTTTTTAAACTCAGACACCCTCTCAGAGAGGTCTCCATGGGAATCAGGGCTCTGGAAACCACATTCTAGATTTTTTGTTTATATGTACAAGTTTATGACCAGCAAACAATCTATTTTATAGGAAATGGGCTCATCATTTTTAGGTTCAATCATCACATACAACAATGCAGACATTTATGTGGATGCTATGGGAGATAGGGCTGCCTATCTTTTGATTTAAGAACAACCCTAGAAACTCACTCACATAAGTTTCTGCTAAAAGCCTGTTTCCTTTCTGATGTTGATCAAATCTTTTTGATTTGAGTAGTAAAAAAAGCGGGGGTGGGGGGGAGGAGGAGGTTGGTGCCAATTATATGAAGTGGCTTCTACTCTGTTAAGTTCTGGTTAATTGAGGTGTTGCTGAGAATTTCTCAGAAAAAGATTTATCTAGTACAAACTAAAAAGTATTGTTTTGCTGACCTGTGACCGCTGCAATGATACTGAGATTAAAGATTCTTTCCACCCACATGCCTCGACTGAATTCCCTGTCCATAGCTGACCAAGTGTATTGAATGCCTGCAAGGAATTTTACCCATACCTTATTAGGATTCTGATAGTACTTCTGAAGAATTGGGAACAGGAATGTCCATAGTCTTTGGAAAGTTTTAACTTTTCTGGAATACAAAGGCATCTCTTACCCTAACTAAGTTATTAAATTCCACTATAATCTTAGCACTACCCTCTGGCAAAGTTACTTCAGAGTGAGAACTGTTTTCTTAGCTTAAATTTTATATTACATTAGATAAGTGCAATGTTATATTATACATTTCCTTAGGAGTTCAGCTCAGCGGAACAATCACATACTATCTACTGTGAATAAGACATCCTTCGAGACATTAAGTAAGTTGAATGAGAATCTGAATAGAAGAAGAAGAGAAAAGAGAGGTCGTCAACAAAGTCTGGCAAGTGTTTTTATACAAGTTCACTTTTACCCTCTTTGGAGTGTGACCAAGGTGCAAAATATCCCAATTGCAGAGATACTCTCTTCATATCTCACCCCCTAAGCAGCTTCAGAATATAGCTGGAGAGACGCATATAGTGGGGAGATCTGCGTTACTGGACTCTGACGAGTCATGGAAAGGTCTTAGAAGAGGGACCCCTCAGAAGCTGCAAATTAGGAACTCAATGCGCAGGCTTGACTTGACCGAAATGGGCTTCACTAGACCCCTGGACACTGCTCACATACCTCCAGTGTTTTTGCTCCCTTTACAAGCCGGCATAGCCGTGAGAATGCACTGATGGCCCTCATTGTATAAATGGGGAAACCAAGACTTTGGGTAGTTTGCTCAAGTCTATACAGCAAAGTGAGGGTACTCAAGACCTGAAACCAGTGGACCGCACTGGTCCGTGGGGGCACGTAGCTTGTAAGTGAGTAAAACTTTCTGCCAGGGGAAGATGAGCAAAATGTGGTCCATGCCTATGTGCAGGCCATGCTCATTTCTGCAGGGAAAAACCAGCCAGACCACGGAGAGATCTGGGGACTTTCCGAACAGCAAACCTTCCGGGCGTGCATGAAGCCAGTTCTGCACAAGGGCACCTGCCCTGGGAGAGTACTTCAGGGCCCCTCGGCCTCAGCGTGGATGTCGGTGGCAGGCACGTGGAACAATGCCTGAGTGTCACTGAGGCGGGGAAGAGAGGCATGTTTACGAAGACGACTGAGCCTGGGACAGGTGGGAAGCATCAGGCTCCCACGTGCACTCTGCGAGGTTTCATCGGTACTTCCATAGTTCTGCTTCCTACTGATCTCCCTACATGTTTAACCATGCCAACTTCCTAGCAGGCTATTTTAAAACCCACTAAACAGAAGATCCTTCTTCCCAGCGTATCCTCCTGACAAAGGGAGGGCTGGCTTGGGAGGAAGGAAACTGGGCTCCCAATTCTAGCTCTCACTACTTTTCACCCTGGTCATGGACAAGACTTTCCTCCTCTCTGAAGCTTGGTTTCCTCATAGACAAGATTAAGTAGTGGCTCATCATGCAGACACCGAGAGCCACCAACAGTGAGGCTGAGGGCTCAGTGAAAGTGTCTCTCGGGCCAGATGAGCTCCTATGGAGCTAGCTGCCAGGCACACTGGGATATGTTGGTTATTAAGAA